CCCCCCATCATCAGGGCTACAATATGAACATATACATTGATCATCCATAACATTGTGGCCACTGAGAGGTGAAGTGAAGTTGATGTTATCAAACTAGAGAAAATGGGCAAGGGTAAGGATTTGTGCAACAAGGTCCAAATTGTGATGGTTAGACGACTGGGTCAGAGCAACTCCAAAACTGCAGCTCTTGTGGGATGTTCCTGGTCTGCAGTGGTCAGGAGTCTGAGGTGATGACTTGGTCTCCAAATTCTCCAGATCTCAATCCGATCGATCATCTATGGGATGTGATGGAAAAACAAGTCCGATCCATGGAGGCCGATCACCTCACAACTTACAGGATTAAAGGATCTGTTACTGATGTCTTGGTGCCAGATACCACAGCACACCTTCAGAGGTTTAGTGGAGTCCATGCCTGGACGGGTCAGGAAAAGGGGGACCTACTCAATATTAGGCTGGTGGTCATAATGTTATGGCTGATCAGCGTATAAGAAGCCAGTGGTCGACTCAGACTACCAGGATCCACCTGTAGCTAAATGATCCCGTCTCTGGAATGGTCTCCCGAGTACTTTTCAAACTACATACAAAATCTTCAGAGGTCTAGAGGAGTCCATGCCTCGACGCGTGAGGAAAAAGGGGGACCTACACAAAATAGTTATGGCTGATCGGTGTATAAGATCCATATAAATAGAGTAGGTATAGCAAATCTACAGATATATATTTGAAAATAGTGTATACCAGGGCTCAAAATTTCAAGTCCTGAGCTACTAGCCAGGCAACCACCGTGTCATCCTTTGTGCCACCACTATGTCATCCTTTGTGCCACCACCATGTCATCCTTTGTGCCCCCACCATGTCATCCTAATTTTGAGCCCTGGTGTATACCACTGGCTATTGCTTTGGAAATAAGTACATATACATGTATGAAGGCTGCATCCAATATGGCAGCCTACTACTAACCGTGCCATGAGTTTCTGCAGTTCCTGCTTGTGCTGAGGATCATCGGCAACGTGCTGGGCCTGGAGCTGCACGTTGTTCACGAACTTCTGCATGTGCTGGAAGGCCTCGATCTGCGTCGCACGAGGGGCATGTTAGAAAAAGAGAGAGGAAGAGAAATTCAAATGGACAAAGAAGAAGGTAAAGGACGGGGTTACTCAACCAGGTCTGAACCAACAGGGAGCGCAATAGTAGGACAGAGGACATTCCAAAGTCTGGGGTGACTTCTCCCCAAGTAAATATTAGTCATTCGACAAAATCGAGTTGGAAAAATCCCAAACAAAACTGAATCTGCAGACGACCGTCCCAATGGCATTTACTGCCTCTGCTTTGCTCATTGCAGGCTCATTGTTGGCCGTGTGACATCATGGCTCCCAGACAGCTAAAGAAAACAGGCTGGGAGTCTCAAATCACTTGCAGCCTGAGTGATCCCGCCAACGTCTAGGCAATTTCTGAGCACCTGCTACGCAAACACGGATGCACGGTCAGTACCTTTCGTGTGCTCTTCCACATGTACTTCATGTAGGCGTAGGTGACCTGCGGGTGAGCGGTGGGTAAGGGCTGGTCACTCTCCAGCGCTGGGTCCACGCCAAGCAGCATCACTAGAGTCTTATGAGACAGAGCCTGCGTGCAGGACAGAAGATTGTTATTACTGGTATAAAATATGTGCTCAGGAAACAGAAATATGAACATTATCCCATGTTATCACAGCAGAATCTTGCAGTGGAAAATTCACAGAAAAGAAGAGAATCTGAATGGGCTTAAAGGGGAACAACGATGGATATTAAACTTTGATAAGTCAGGCCACTGGATGTACTCTATATACCCTGGCACTTCGGAATATTTAACCGCATATGAAAACTGCCATCGGCAATGACTTCATAAGTATACATTAGGCATATCTGTTGCAGTAAAATCCAATGTATGGATTTATACCACTAGAGGGCGCTCCCAGG